ATAAATTCAATTTAATTTTACATTATTTATACAGTTTAGAGTACTTTTTAAAAAAACGAAAACTAATCATAATGAAAAAAAAAACCTGTATAGAAGTTTTATTAGAACTGTAGGACTCCATAGACAAAAATAAGATCTAATTATCATCTATTTAAAAAAGTTAGTATAGTAATAACTTCTTAAAGCCTGATAAAATTAACTTATTACTAAGCTATTTTTTTAAACGGATGAAACTTAGATCTTATTTTTAACTATTGTCACAAATTTATAAATTTGTAACAGGGAAATTGATTTTTGTTACCTTCCTTTTTTATAAGTAAGCATTTCTAAAAATAGTATTATATTTTATTTCATAATTAAATACATGATAAAACTTGTAACCACCCTAGTAATAGTATATGATCATCTACTTTCATGTACATCATATAGCACGATAACATGTTAGCATATATGTGTGTAAATAAAGGGGAACATTCTAGTATCAAGGGTTCGTGATAATATGTCGACATGCTGGGCTTAGAATTTTAAAGTATTGATACACTAATGTGCTAAATAGCACACCAAAGCAATAGGTAGCACATTAATGTGTAGGATAATAAATAAAAATGTATATAAAACAAAACTTTTAAATTAAATAAAGGAACAAAGAAAAAAAAGACTTCAAAATAAATCCAAAAAACAAAATTTTGATTAAGTACTAAAATCCTCGTCGTTAAAATTTGAACAAACCATTTTTAACTTATCTGTATTAACCTTGTGCCAGTGTGCTTTGTTCACATGATCCGTCAGGAGAACTCCTTGTCTCTCTCTGCTAAAACTACCTTACCTCAATTCGAACCTCCTTTATTAATCTACTCACACAAAATACCTTTTCATTATTACCTTACCGTAACTATTAGAGTATAAATTGGCTTAGTTCTTATTCTCCAAACAAATAGTTACACTATGAAGTCCTACAGCTCTAATGAAACTTTCTATATAGCTTTTTTTATTTCATAATGATTAGTTTTCATTTTTTTAAAAAGTACTCTAAATAGCATGATTGAAGATCCATATGATTGGTCCATATGTTATACAAAATTTACATTTACTCAGATAAGAAACATGCCATCTTCACTCATATAAAATTATATTATGTCACAAATTAAATATGTGCAAAACTTTATGAACACTTCAATTAATAGTTTCTCTACTTACTAGAAAATTTAATTAATTTCATTATCAGATTTAACAAAGACTTTTGCAATTATAGTATTTTTAAAAAAATTACAATTTAGCAGGTTTAGTGATGTTCTACTTCATTTGCTTTTTACAATTTTACACATGCATCTAAAATAATAATTATATTCTAACCTATTTGCAAAAAAAATTTTTGATTAGTTATTTTGAAACATAAAGCTTCAAGATTAAATCTAGATCACTCGATCACTCAAGATTAAAGACACTACTAAAGATAAGTTTTATTTTATCAACTACTAATTTCTCTAATTTTATTTTGCAAATTTAATTCTAAATCTTGATCAATTTCTAGTTGATTATTATTCTCTTTATCCAAATCAGACTCTTTTGTAATATTCAATTCATCAATTAGTTCTCTTGCCTCTTTATTTGTTTTTGTGTTTAAATATTTTAAAAATAAATTAATATTTTGTCAGATACTATCTTTAAAATAATTTAAACAAAGTCTACATTTGTTATACATTTTGTTGTAGCATTTTATATAGTATTTGTGATTGCATATTAAGATAATTTCTTTATTGGTAATTAGTTTTGTATGACAACAATCACAATTATCAAATAAAGAAGATAATAAAGTACTATATTCAAATGATATACTTATTGTCTTTAATTTTTCTAAAGTAAAAAGATTATAAACAGTCTATAAGTTTTTTTTTTATTTTTTTTTTAAGAATAAAAGTTGGTTACTAATAAACTTGTCTCTTCATTTTTTTTATAAATTTCTTGAAATTGAAAAAGAAAAAAGAGACATGTCTTATTAGTTAAAAACTTCAAATCTTATTAAGAGTATAAATATCATGTTTTAGTTAAAAATATTTCATAAAAAGTTAAATATTTATAATAATCCAAGATGAAAACTTGTTTTTGTATATTTTTAGCATTATCATTTAATGTTGTTATTATGCATATTTTGTTGTACATGTTTTCTATCTAATAATTATTAAATTAAATAAAATATTTTTCTATAATATCTTTTATTAGGTGATCATTCTTTTCTTAATAAAATATATCTAACAGGAAGGCAAATAAAGTCTTATTATAATTCTTTTATTTTCAATGTAATGTAAAAATCCAAATGTGAAAGACTGTTTCTATATAGTTTTCAAAAATATCAGACTGAAATAGTAACTTGTAAACATCAAGAAGTGTTAAAACAACATTATTAAATAATTTTATAACTACTTGATATTTAATATTTTTTTATAGATAAATAAATTTTTTATTATATCATCTTTAATTTTAAGTCATACAGAGAATACTAATTCTAATAAAAGATTTATTCTTCAAGGTCTAGACTTTTTTGTTAATTTTTTTTTTATCAAATACATTATAAAAAAGCTTTTCAAAAAATAGATAATAAACTTTTATTGTATGTTTCTAAGTATTAAGAGAAATATGTAATAACCTAAAGAGAGGAATAAAAGAAATTATTTCTAATTGCATTAATAAAATTTTGTTTCTATTATATATATATATTAGTACTTTGTAAATATAAAGTTGTTCTAACTAATTTACAAATGATGTTATGTTATTAATAAGATAATTTGTTTATTTATTATATTTTAAAATTATATTTAATATATTAAGATATTCTTGTACAAAATGAAGTTATTATTTTTTTATTTCTACTAAAATTATATTCTTTATTTTTCATTTTTCTTTTCACTTTACAATAATATTGTTATAAATATATATATATATATATATATTTTTGTTTTAGGCAGTCATACTAGTATTTTATTAATATTCTAGTAATTATTACAATTATATTGATGTTTAACAACTAAGTCTAGCATTACCCAGCTACTCTAATGGTGCCTTAGTGCAGACCTGCTGCATTACTTCAAGCAAAAGTAAACTGCTCATTAGACTACTTAAAGTCCATAATGAAAGAATCTTTCTCCTTTCATGACAAGCTTCAATATTGTCTTTCTAGCTTCATCTTTGATTTGTTTTTTCCTTTTTTTTAATTATTAAACAAGAGAATTCTATAATCCTTGCCTAAAGAACAACAGGATATACAAAAGGAAAACTAAAAGAAAGTAAAAAAGAAGAGACTAACCACAAAACCTAAACATAAACCAAAAAAAAAAAAAAGGTAACAAAAAGAA